CGGGAATGGAGGGTAAAAACCGTTGGGATATTATTATTATTATTATTTCTACGCCAGAAAACGTAATAATAAAACTCTAAACTTTGTGCAAAACTCAGGAAAATTCATTAAATTTGCACACTAATTTTCAACTTTTCATTCAAGCAAGTTCTTCCATAGAAAGTAATTCGACAATTATTTTTTGTATGGAGAAAATGAGCAACAGCTTCCACTAAAAAAATTGCCAAAAATCAACGCAATTTTCTACCGACTTCAAACTTGCACTTTATTATACTAAATTTGGATGGGCTATAAAACTGCATACTTAGAATTTTTCTAAAAAATCTGAATAAAAAGTTGAAAATTAGTGTGCAAATTTAATGAATTTTCCTGAGTTTTGCACAAAGTTTAGAGAATTTATTATTACGTTTTCTGGCGTAGAATGAACAATATTTTTCTTAAAAATTATCGAAAATAAATTAGAATAGAAAACTTCGCATATATTGCGAAAAATTCACTGTGCCAATACTTCTGTTTGGCACTGTACATATTTATTCTAAAAATAAGCATATATTTTCATATTCACAAAGCCATTTCTGAATTAAATTAGCCATTTCTAAATTAAGTTATATCTTTGTAACTAACATATAAAAGTTTCGAGTATTTACCTATACGCATGTATATATTAAAAATAAGCATATATTTTCATATTAAAAAGCCTTTTTGCATTAAATTATATCTTTGTAACACATAAGAAATGGTTTTATTTATTTAAAATAGATTGCAAAACTGTTTTGAAATATTTCGTCCGAGTACTTTTGAGTACAAGTAGAATCGAGTATTTTCTAGCGATACTTTGAGTAGCATCAGTACCCCCTTCGATGCTCTAAAATGAGTACTGGTATCGAGTACATGGTGGTATCGGACGAACACTAACGGCTGTGGTAATCAGTGTTGCCGCGCCGTCTCAAGAAAATGAATGTATCCCTGACCAAGCCAAAAATGTATCCAAATGTATCCAATTTTCTTTTTTTACATATACATCTCATAACTTGTAAGAAAACCAAACATTTTCATGAAAAAGACATAATTTAGCCCATGCTAAGGACTTGGAATACATGTGCATAAAATCAAACATTTGTAATTTTAATTTATAAAGTACATTTTTTGTGCATAAGTATTTTGCAGAGTAAATATAATAAATAGCAAGTACACTCTAAGAAGAGCATGTAAAACTACTACTGAAAAGTATCTATTTTTCAACAAGAATCTGTATAAATATACGTATAGGATGTTCAGTATTTGATTTTGAACTTGAGATCTTTAAAATATACACATAAATAAATATGTAGAATATTTAAAATTGCAAAAATTTTCAAACTGCAAATACATTTCCTACTAATAATAAACATTACTTTATTTTAAACATTTTGTGTAAAAATAAACAGGCAATGATTAATTTTATTACACGGCTTGCACATTTGTATACATTAAAAGAGGAAACCGGTTATCTCTCTCAATATGCGCAAATAAACAAAATTTTTTAGAGTGTATTTAAAGTCTTTTCAGTAAAATTCATAAAAGTTTCCTTAAATAAATCAAATTTAGTTTATTAAACTACATTGAAATCTTCTTTCTTTTTAAATTAACAAATGAAAATATGTGATATGAAAGAGATTACTACAGAAAGAGTATAATTTACTTTACATATATCGTCGTTTAAAGTACAAAACCGCGTATCGTCATTCTGCAAAACCGCGTAACTGACATTTGCTGCCAAAAATTGGATTTGCTCACACAAGCTCTTGGCTTCATCCTGAAATATACTAGCCAGAAATGCGATTGCTTTATAAAAAAGAGAACCATTTTGAAATATAAGTGTTTTTACTCTCTAGAAAATAATTTATGCAACGTCACATACGCAGTTTTGCATTATCTTGATACGCGGTTTTGCATTTTGTTGCGGTTTTGTACTTTAAACGACGATATGTATGTATATTAAGATCTTGCTTAAAGCATCCTTTTAAGCTAATTAAAGCAATTGTGCTTATACCTATTTTGGTGAGATCTCTTCATATGTTCATTGCTT